CATTTATAATAGTCTGAGGGATTTTTCCACTATAAAGAACCTTTGTGCAATGGAAAGATTATATAGATGTACTATATAGAAAAATAGAAAACCGGTAGAAAATTGTCAATCAGTAGAGATTTTGGACTATTATCTTTATCGTGGTTACAGGCTCACGTGACCTTGCTGTGCTACATGGTCATGAAAACTGATCGCTTGCACGTGTTTTTAAGCATTGTGGTTTAAAAACAAGTGATTTTAAGCCGTTACAATACAATCAGCAGTGAAAGAGAATTCACTCATTTTGCTATATGCGGTTTGCCATAGACGGTGCTCATAGAGTGCAGAAGTATTTCTTGAATGATTTATAGGCCTTGAGCGGTTAAATGCACACACTTGTATGTGTCAAAATGCCCATCTTTGCAAGTATCCTTGTAAACACAGTAATTTAGGTCTTAAGTGAAAACAAACAGCTGAGACAGAAAACATGTGTAACAGTATATTGGATCCGGGCAGCTCTTAATGTGACAGCAGTCTAATATTCCTAATATTCGCAGCAGTCTAATATTTGCATCTGTCATTCATGTTAATCAAACAACAAAAGAGAGAAAATCTCTCACTGCTCTTGACTAAATCACTTTTGTAGTGAACCAGTGCACTTTTGTAACTTTAATAAGAAGAAATACACAGTGAAGAATACAGTGTTTTTATACATTTGATTACTTTATACAATGTATGTAGCATTTCTTAGTTATTTGTTCTACTGTAGTTTTTTTTATTTATTTACATTTAGTCATTTAGCAGACACTTTTATACAAAGCGACTTACAAATGAGAACAATGGAAGCAATACATTTTTTGTCCTGTTGCTTGTAATCTTAATCGCTGACTGTTTACTTGTCTTCATTGAGCTTATTATTATTATTTTTTTGTAGTTTTCTGTGATATTGACACTGGTGATAAGAATTATGAAATTTCTACGGTATCAAAAATTTTTATATCATAAAGACCTTATTTAAACCAAAAATAACTATACTGTTACCGTGAAGCAAAATTACACATATTGTTATATAAGATTTTGGTCATATCGCCTACCCCTAATATTACCTTTAACTCTAAAACACAACATAATACAATGCGTAATTCAAAATATGTAATTCAAAACACTTGTGAAAAATGGAAATGGAAATTTCCTTCATATTAAAACAGTAAATTAGGCCCTATTTTCACTCATTTTTTTAGAGAGTACGTCAAAAATTAACATTCCTTCACAGAATGATGTCACTATCATAAAGATATATAATAGAAACCTCAATTACAAAGTTTTCAGAAATATTTAAATATATCACACTCATTAAATGCACAAGATTTAAATGCACATCTTAAGGCTCTTACAAACAAGGCTTTTACAATTAGTACTGTTTAAAGCATTACATAATGTGAATCTTTTCAATTTTCACCACAAAGTAAAAAAAAAAATACAATAAATAAATAAATAAATAACCATTAGAGAGGAAGCACTTCTCATTTGTAAAGTATTTATCTCACTGCAATACCCAAAAATAGGCATCACCACATGGTTATTTGATATATAAAGCTTTTTCGTAAAATTTACAGCAAGAAGCAAAAACAAACAAAATCTATATTGTGATATAACATCATCCTGATATAAAACAGCTCATCCTGCAATCTAATTTTGCTCCCACCTCCCACGCCTAGTATCAAAGGATCATGATATAACAGAGCTAAATGGGAGAATACTATACCTGACCTCTTCTTTATTCATCTGCTGCTTTCTTAATCCTTTGTGCTCATTGTCTGGCCAATGTCAACTGTAGCAGAGCAGATCATTTCCATAGCAACACTGAATTCAGCGCACGAGCGCATGATACAGAACATAATGCAATTCTGCCATCGCCGTTCCCTGGAGGATAAAATGCGTTTGTCTTTCCGTGACGATTTTATATTCGAAACTCCCTGCAACACGCTTTCCCAAAAAAGCCGGCTAACTTAGGCGATGTAATAAAACCCAGAGAAATCTAGGTCAGCCATGAACAAAACCATAGCTGCTCTATTGATTCAACAAATTAAACTATGACTCCTGTAAAAGGCCTTTGATCAAACCGAGTGGATTAGATTCAATTACGAAGGCCTTCAGTGTGCCATTTGAATATAAATGCAGTGGGATAATAATGTGGATGAGACTGTCCGAATGAGGATTCAGCAGTAAGATTACAACTGGGAGCTGGGGATGTATTTCTTTAAAGCGAGAGCCAAAATGTCTCATAGCTAATTGCTATGGAAATACCTTCCTACAATATGAATGAGTCCAAGGCCACGGATCCTTAATCAGCAGACCGGCTATTCCCCCGCGGTGTTTAAAGACACCAGTACGGCGAGAAATCACTGAAGCTCGACTCTGAAAACTTGGCAGGCTGTCATTGCTGCAGACAGTTAATATTTGGAGCGGATGGACACTCAAAGCAGACTGAAACAGTCTTCAGAAATTGGCTAGTCTGAGCTTTGGGGGAAAAGCTTGCAGAGCAAATATTCCCCTTTTTGAAAATGCCCTGCGAGAGAGCTGCGAGTCAAAGTGCTCTAACCTTTAATACACATTATCTGCTGCATTCAAATGAGAAGGCTGACTGACTGCTCGCAAAGGCTGTGACCTTTCAGGTAGACGAATGCGATCCATACTTAAAGTCTTGTCGTCGTGAATGAAGGTGTGACATCTTTACCAAAGGGTGAGAGATCGCAAGCAAAAATAGCTTACTAGTACTGCTCTATTTTCCATTTGACCTATTAACGTCCAATTCAGTTACTGTAGCCCGCCTGGCATTCACAGGTACGCTGTCAAAAGTTACCTTAAGGTCAAAGTAAAACCAAAATGAATTTACGTTCTGAATGCATGTTCTTGGTCTTATTGTGCACAATTATTATTTTAAAGCTGCAGTCCGTAACTTTTGGCGCTCTGGCGGTTAATAAACAGAACTGTGTGTGTCTTGCGGAAGAACATTGTAGCCAGAGCTACTTCTCTCTGTTTATGTCTATGGCGAATCATGTAGGTACTGGGCTACTCCGCAGCGATTTTACCAGTACCAGTCAGAAATAGTCCGAATATAAAAACTTATTGTAGATGTACGTACCGTAGTGATTCAGGATAAGCCAAATACACAGTTTGGAAAATGGATTCATGATGTACTCGCTTACTATATTAATTTTGTAAATTTCGAACACAAAAAATGTTACGCACTGCAGCTTTAAATAGTTAAATATGCAAAAAGGGCTTAAAATGTGGTAAGAGGAGGCACTCCGACAACGTTGACTAACGTTGCGTAAACACTGGTAAATCTTAGGAATAAGCCTTAGCAGAACATCCTTTTGATGGTATCAGCATTACAATTTAAAAAATATGTTTTTATTTTGGATTTTTAGTATTTAGCAAAAATTACACATTGAGTCATCAGTAATGTTATGCTAACTTTTAAATAACTTAAACAATAAATAAAATAAAAAATCTGTCTTCTCTCAACCAAAATGTATGGCTTGGAAAAACATTTTAGAACATAAATTTGGGACTTGGAGTTGGAACTTAAATTTAAAATGTAAATATAAATTTGGGACTTGGAGTTTGACAAATTTAATCTTTTTCTCTAAATGTAATAACTTGCACTGCCTCTGAAACGACTTTCATTTTTGAATTAGGCTAAGTTGCAAAGCCCTCTCACTTTTCAGCCCCTCTCCACCCCCACCCTATTCTGACATAAAACAGTCACTTTTCACAATCTAGTCAATTCCAGATCAAAAATGAAGCCAAGTTTTTTGTTACTGCAGTTTATAAGATATCAGTAAAAACTATAGTTTTAAAGTTTTAAGGCTTTGGTACTGTGTTGTGCAAAACATTAATGTCACATCATAGCTCTCTGTTTGCAATGCATGATAATCAACTTAAAAAAGGTTAAAAGCATGTTATGTCTGTGACACTATTGACCCCCAATGGAATCGAAATATGTTTATTTAGTAGATACAACAACATTAGCACAACAAATTATGAGAGTTTGGGATGGAACCCTCTGTTTGGAAACTTTACTACTCCAGTGGACATTTACTATCCCATGAAGCCACGGGAGAGGCCACACAACTGATGCTGGTAGGTCACATGTCAATGACAACATGACGAGTGTACAGTAGTATGCCTGGACTACATTTAGACTAGAACATAAATTGTGTCCCAAATGACGCACTATACACTATGTAACTAGGCACTATGTAACTAACTAGGCACTCAACTGTGTAGTGGATGGGCTTTATAAGGTAATTTTGTCATTCCTTATTGCAGTCTGAATGCACTACTTACACTATTTAAGCATAAATAGTAAAAAAAACCAAAAAAAAAACAGAGAATAGTGCATAAAGTATGCAAAATCTGAGGAACCTGTACTTTTTTAATGGTTGTGAAGTACTTAACCAAAAGAAGTACCTACTCAGAGAGTATGCGATTTCGAATTTTTGCAGTAATGTTTGTTGTCATTTGTAGCACAGAAACTAAAAAATAAATAAATAATCACATTCGATTTAATAAAGAAAATAAGAATAGTCACAATGCTTGCAAATAACTGCAGGAAAGAAGACCAATTGCGATTTAGTATGCAAATACAATGATGACGCCATCACAGCAGCGAACATTTAAAAAAAAAAAAGTTAAAGTGAACGGGAGATTAACTAACTTTAATCTTACGTTTCTTACAAAAGCCTAAACCATAACACTCAGACATTATCCACACAGTTAAGTTGTGTGTAAACAGTATAAGCTGCATTAACTGCAGAAAACAGACACAATGGATAACAAAGTACAGTAGTTCGATTTGTCATACTGTACATGTAGCCTACAGTAAATATACAGTATCACTGCGATATAAAGTGTAACTCGCTGTCAAGTGTAAACAGTGAAAACACTGATCTCCTCACTATACTGTACATGCATCACATCAAAGCACAGAGGCTTGGAAATGAATCACTTACTTTTCGGGTCTGGGCTTCGGTTTCTTCCGATTCTCCTCGGCTGCTTCCCTTATGGATAGAGCGCGATACAGAGCAATAATAATCCACGCGTGGAATAGACCCTCCCTCCCTCTGCCTCTGTGTGTCTGTCAGCCGCCCCGCATCAGCAGCAGCAGCTCAGGCTCCGCCGAAGCCCGCTCAGCGTCTCAGCATCTCTGCTGCTCTCTCCCTCTCTCGTTCCCTCATATGGGTCATACATGAAATATTCAACGCAGCCCTTCATCATATTCGTAATTCTGACATTAATTTCAGAAATGCTCAAGGGGGCTCCAGTGCGTCTGATAACCTACATACTTTAAGTCCATCTCATTGTAACATCTGCGCAAATGACGCTCCCTGTGAGGAAATGAAAAGTTGCAGGAGTCGTTTCTCTTGGGGTTTGTGTTGTTGTTGATCTTTATCACCTTAAAGGGTTAGTTCACCCAAAAATGAAAATTAGCCCATAAATGACTCACCCTCAAGGCATCCTAGGTGTATAAGACTTTCTTCTTTCATACGAATCCAGTCGGAGTTATATTAAAAATGGTCTTTGATCTTTCAAGCTGTTTAATGGCAGTCAGCGGGTGTTGCAGTGCATCAGTCCAAAAGAAGTGAAATAAAAAGCACCCATCCATAATAAAAAGTGTCTCACACAGCTCCGGGGGGTGAACAAAGGCCTCCTGTAGCGAATTGATGTGTTTCTGTAAGAAAAATAACCATATTTAAAACGTAATAATCAATTTAATCTAGCTCACTGTTGTACACGGAAGCAGCTCCGGGAGGATGACGTAAGATGTTGTTGCGTTGCCCATGCATGCGCCGGTGAGTCTCGTGAAAACCAACGTTTGTTAACAGGAGCAAAGTAAGCAAAGTTTCGTTACTTTAGCAAAGGAAAACCAGTCTCCTCTTGGCTTATATCGAAATCCATGACATTCTTCTTTACAAATCCTCGTTTTGTACTTCTAATTAGTGACCGTTGTTTTGTTTTGATCTCTCCACTGCGTTTCCGTGTGCGTCTCTTCTGAGCGGCGCATGCGCAACGCTGAACTAATACGTCATTCCCCCGGAACTGCTTCCTTGTACAACAGTGAGCGCAAGCTACATTAAAGTGATTATTACGGTTTGAATATGGATATTTTTCTTACAAAAAC